GACTACTCCGCCTAGGCTGCACTGTCGAGCGCAGATCCACTGAGCGCTCAACACAGACAGCACCGTCAGAAGGAAAGTTGATAAAATAAATTAAAAATTTTGTATTGTTTGATACATATGCGTACCGAACCGAAAGCACTGTATCGAACGGTTCAATATCGACACGAGTATCGTTGCACCCCTAAACAAAAGTATCTGAATAACTGCATACAGTAATAGCTGAAATTCTTCAGAAGCAAACACAGTGAATGTGTCTTTTTGTATTTCCCTCAAATTTCGTCCTCCAGCGGTTCTGATCACCTCCATGCTGAAGGACCTGAATGCCCAAGAGAGAGACACTATCACCTTTGAGGTCACCGTCAACTATGAAGGCATCACGTACAAATGGCTGAAGAACGGCGTGGAAATTAAGTCGTCGGACAGGTGCCAGGTCCGCAGTCGGCAGCTTACGCACTCCCTCACCGTCCGAAACGTTCACTTTGGAGACGGAGGAGAGTACAAGTTTGTGGCCGGCTCTGCCGCCACCACTGCTAATCTCTTTGTGGAAGGTAACCTGGTGCTGAGCATGTTTACAGTCTGTAGAGGTGAGAAATGCTACGAAACGTCTCTGAAAATGTTGTTCTTTCAGCTCGTGTGATTGAATTCACCAAGAAGATCAAGGACATAAAGATCACGGAGAAGAAGAAGGCGATTTTTGAGTGTGAGGTTTCTGAGCCAAACATCCAGGTGATGTGGATGAAGGACGGTCAGGAGATGGACATGTCTGAGGAAAGGTCTGTCAGTGCTCGTTAAAGTTTGTCCACGCTTAATCTGAAAATCACTATTCCCAACATCTCCTTATTTAAGCCAATGAAAGCTTTTAGAGGTTAATTGTTGGATATCTTCTGCCTTGTATCCAAAGGTATATTGTGACAGCAGAGAAGTATGTTCACCGCCTCGTGATCCAGACGGTTCGAATGTCTGATGCTGGGGAATATTCAGTGGTAGCTGGATCAAGCGTCTCCAAGGCCCGGCTCACTGTGGAGGGTCGCGACATTCGGATCTCGGAACCTCCTGAGCGGGAAATTACGGTGAAGTGGTTTTAAAGTTCATTTACTGATGTTTCAGAATAAAACTTCTGTCTTTCAGGTAATCACAGTTTGAGGATTAAAGGTGATTCGCTGTTTTTTAAGACATTTATTTAATTGCAATGAGTTTCATCAAGTTAACTTTTGCAACCAAAGCTGCTCTGTTTCACAACCACAGGAGTTACGCAGAGAAATTAGTGTCAGTTTGGTGCATCTATATGTTTTAGCTTGAAAGACACGGGCGAAGTTTACAGATACTGAACCTGAGATTAACATTTTTATTTCTCTTTTATTTCTTATTTAGAAATATGCCTTAAAAAATAACCACAACATGTTTTACTGCACTCACATTTTAAAAAGGAACTTAAATAGTAGGATTTTGGGTGCTTGGTGATTGTATTTACTGACATTTTCAACAGAAAATAGGGCCTTAACTCTATTATTGTAGGGTCTACCTTACAATATAAAGCACCTTGAGGCGACTGTTGTTGTGATTTGGCGCTATATAAATAAAACTGAATTGAATTGAACAGAGATAGAAATGTAAATAGTACACTATCCCCTCCTAGGTTCTGGAGAAACACCGTGCAACCTTTGAGTTTGAAGTGAATGAAGAAGATGTGGAGGGTCACTGGCTGAAGAATGGCGTGGAGATCCAGTTCTCGATGGAAGAGAGATTTAACTACGTGACCATCAGGAAGCTGCATCGCCTCACCATCTCAGAGACCTACAGGAGTGATGCTGGGGAGTACACCTTCATCGCTGGCAAAAATAGAAGCACCATGCAGCTTCGAATAAACAGTAAGTCCAGCGTGACATCACACAGAAAGAATGATGTACAGTGTGACTGAACACATAAAAACTGGTTGTTTCTTGTTTGTTTCTAAAAAAGGCCATTTATTTCAAACTTTCTCATCAGTGAAATAATTGTGCTTTGAAGGTCACATATACTCATCATTCTCACCATCTTGGCTTTATAATTATTTCTTTGAGCTGCTATTTTTAAGGGTAAAATGTCTGTTTAGCATATATCTTTAATGACTTAAATAAAATTATAACTGGGTGCATTTGAATTTTTTTTAGGACTTTTCTCTTATCACAGGGTTAAACGTATACGTACAAGCTCAAGTATATACAGCGCTCCCCCGCTATAACGCGGTTCACCTTTCGCAGGTTTTTTTTGGTGCAATTTAGTTTGGGGGTTTTTTGGGGTTTTTTTTACAGCGCATTGTCTCGTGCTGTGTCTCCTGTACAGTACAGAATGCGTTCAGCTAGCGATCGCTAGCAGCTAGCAATCGCTAGCAGAGATTAATTGACAATGCGCTAGCAGCTAGCGATCGCTAGCAGCTAGCGATTGCTACTGGACTTTCTACAAGGCCTGAACTTTGAGAATATTTAAATAAGAGAGAAAAGTGTATTAAGTGTGTAGTGAGGAGTTTGACAGCTTTAAAACATCTATGTTAATTGTAAAAAATAAAGTTGGCTACTTTGCAGATTTTGCCTATCGCAGGTTAGAACGTAACTCACGCGATAAACGAGGGACCGCTGTACATGAAGTGCAGCTGAAGGTTCTAGCAGGCCTAAATGCAGACACAGAAGGATGGACACAAGGAAGCAATTTATATTACATTACAAAAGGTCCAGGAAACAAAACATGAAGCACAAAAGGGAAAATTAAATCCACCCACAGAGAACAGCAATCAGGAAAGTGGAGACACAGCTGAAAATAAATGGATGATGAGAAAACTAAAAGCAAGGCACAGAGGACAATGAATCCAAATAACACAGGAAGTGAAATATGGTAACCAAATACATAGACACACATGAAATTAACACAGGGGAAGTGACATGAGAGGATGGAGCAAGAAGCTTTGAACAAGGAGTAAACTAACACAAACGGAAACAGAACAAATTATAGTTTTCATATATATCCATATATTCCAGTTAAACTTTACCTCTTAAATATTCTGCCTCGTTCAGTCCCCGAGCCTCCTCAGATCCTTCGCCACATGGAGCCCCAGTCGGTCGAGGCTGGAAAACCAGCTCGCTTCTCAGTCCAGGTGAGCGGTGTTCCCCAGCCTCAGGTCTTCTGGTACAAAAACTCCCAGGCTCTCTCCGCTGGCTTCAAGTGCAAGTTCCTGCACGATGGCAACGAGCACACACTGCTGCTCATCGAGGTCTTTCCTGAAGACGCTGCTGTCTACACCTGTGAGGCCAAGAACGAGTATGGCACTGCCACAAGCACCGCAACACTCAATGTTGAAGGTGAGACATGGATGTGACACACACACAATAAACACAAAAGAAACATGCAGAAATACGTGGGACACACACAGATTGTTGGTTTCTGCTGAAATTGGCATTTTTTCCTGAGTAGAGTGCATGCTCTCGCCATTAGCCCAACATCAGAGTTTTCATGGACACAACTCTCCACCAGAAATAGATCAGATCGTATCAGAAGGTGGAAATGACTTCTGCATATTTTGCAAATGATGTAGGGCAGCTGAACAACAAGCACTAAAATAAGAAAAGCAAAAAGTTTTCCTAAAGTTTTGCAAAAGATAAAGAAGAAGACTCTTTGTATAAGAGCGTTCTTACCTGACAGCACGTGGAGTTTTTGCACCGCTAACCAACCAACTAACTAGAAAGTGCAAGCCTGCAGGGGAGCCTCCACACTGCTCCCCCTGGTGGATACACATGCTTTTACCACCGATTGCTCATTAAGGGCGTTACTACTCATAGTTGTGTCGTCCACGTCGCAGGCGGCAATATAACAACCGTCAAGGAGACCGGTCAAGGATTGGCCGAGGACCCACCGTGGCCCCGTCAGGGTCCAGGCAGACATTGTAAGTGGCTGTATCTGTACTGATTCAGGTTCTTGTGTTGCAGTTTCAGAGGTGGTTTCTCCAGACTCCCCCGCTACTGTTGCTCCCCCTGTCATCATCTCACCCATTGCCAGCACTCCAGCCTGCGAGGGCGCACCAGCTTGCTTCCAGTGCAAAGTCCGTGGAGATGGTAAAAAATGCAATTTCTTATTGAGTGATGCTGTGATTTTATACTGAAACAAAGTGACAGTATTGCTCAGTTTCTGGTAGTTACGCTGCACAATATTTTAAGTTGAAAATTTCTTCAAACCTGTAGCCACTTCCTGTGAAAGGAAGTTTTAGTAGTAGTAGTGTGTCCTTTGGTCTTCTCTTGAAGCCATTGGGACTGAAACTTGATTATGGCACGCGACTAATTAACCACCTTCAGACTCATTTACTCTTGCTGTCGACCCACAGTGCAAATTTACTGCAGTATATTTACACAAGCTGTGCTTTTTCCTTTGTCAACCATCAAGATGTGAAGATAAGCTGGTTCCACAAGAAAAAGGAAATCAAACAGTCCGAATTCTTCAGGATATCTCAGTTTGATGACAGCTGTCAGCTGGAGATCTCCAGGGTTTATCCAGAGGACGAGGGCGAGTATACCTGCATGGCCACAAACAATGGAGGGACGGTATCCTGCTCTGCAACTCTTACATTCGACGGTGAGTTTATTACTAAAAAGAAAGGCTGCTTTTCTTACTCTGAGACAATTGAAGGGTCAATAACAGAAGCTCACAGCAGTGCTGGTTTCAGATCAACACACTCTCACTGAAGCTGTAGATTATGATTTGGTGTTGTGTTGTCTGGCGATAACAAATCCTGCACACTCAGTTTTCAGAACTCGTTCTTTGAGGTTAGGATTAAGTTATACGTTAAAGTGAATCTCAACAGCAACAACAGTGGGCGAAGAAAAAAAATCTGCCTGTGTAATGATGGCATCCATCCATCGGCTGGAGCCCATCCCAGCTGTCTAAGGGCGACTGGAAGGGTACAGCCAGGACAGATCGCGAGTCTGTTGCAGGGCTACCACATAGAGACAGACACTCACGCACTCACATTCACACCTTTAGAGGTTTTCACAATTTAGAGTCACCAATTAACCTATCACTACTAATTGCATCTCTTTGGACTGTGGGAGGAAGCTGGAGTACCTGGAGAGAACCCATCGTACTGCCTATGATGAGAAAAATGAGAAAAATGTGGGCTTTTGTGTTGGAAGTGTTTATTAACCATGTAGAATTAACTTTGTAAAATTACTCCCATTGCAATGGGTTTTATAGTTATATAGGGATGCAATGAAAGGTGACCAAATAAAGGAGAAAAGAAGAATAACTGGAGAAAGAGTTCCCTGTCGTTTATGACAAAGTGTGGCTCAGGAAACAATCTTTCATAAAAATACAAACAAGTAAATATCATTGTGCTTACTTTTTTCACCTGAGTTCTGTGTCAAAGTTTTTAACCACGCTTTCTTTACTGAAATATGACCTCATGATCCCCAGTCAGTTTCAGTTTAGTGATTTGGCGACGCTTAGCCATGATAGTGAAGGATCATTTGCTCTGGTCCAAATACTTTTGGTTGTTTTGAGTATTTTTGGAGTTAGTTAGTTTAGTTTGTAGTTTCTGTTATGCTGTGAAAGGACAGAAGATATTCCCTTATTCCCAGCTCCTGGCAGATCACACAAATGGTGCTTACTGGGATGTAAATAGAACAAAGTACACTGAGCCAATGAACATGCTTTATTTCAGGGCAAAAGCAAACGTGGGACAGATCTGCCACCACCAACATCACTCGCCTAAAGATACCTTCAATTTGCCAAAAGCCAATTTCATCCAACCAATCACAAGCTGTACAGTGCCACATGGGGGGAGGCCCACTTTTATGCGTGTGTAGCTAGCATGCCAAAATCAGAAATAAGCTGGTTCCACAACCAACACTCGGTTTGGCCTAACAAGAATGAAAACACTGCCACTCTCATCGTAGTGGCACCATGCAGGCCAGTACTCCTGTAAGACTGCTAATACTGCTGAACAGGCCACGTGCTCAGCCACACTCACCATAAACGAAGAAGGTAACCCGTCCTAATCAGCTCCAGACAAAACTGGAGAGGATGTCCTGAACCGATGTGCAACGTCACTGTCACATTAGCTACTAGTGGGTTTGATTCGCTTTGAAATTATTTTTCAATCAGAAAAATTTAACAAAAAAGCCTCAAAACAGGAACTGACAGAAGTTAGTAACCTTACATTTATTTTAGTGTGTTTGAGCGCACTGCAGTATTAAAACCAGCAAAGAAAAAAGACGAAAAACTAATTAAATGAGTCAGTATGTCTGTATTGTTAAAAATAAACAAAAATTCCATTAAATAAAACATGCAAAACTCAAACATGTTTTTATTAAAACGATAAAATTGTGAATAACTATATTTAAAGAAGAGTAAACTGATTAATTAATATTTACAAATTCATTATATTCAAATAATCATGGGTAACAGATATTATTAACACATTTACATACATATTAGCCGCCTAGCTTAATTGTTTCTGATGATTAAGGGCCGTGCAATGCACTTTGGACGTTTTTTGCTCACTACTGACTTCAAGGCTTCAAATATATTTTCTCCCCCTGGTGGTAATGCAACTTCTACATGCAGTAATGCAGGATCTGCATGTGTGTCCGTTTCACGTTTTGGAGAGGCAAAGCAGCATTATTTAGGTAGAATGTGCACACAAATGCAGAAGAGGCTACAGTCCCTGGCACCAATATACCATTACAATAACGTCCATGACCCAGGATAACAACTGTTGAATGGACCTAGGCTTCCCTCTATTAGAAAACACTCACCCAGCCACAGAGAGGACACCCAATGCTGAAGGTCCTGCACCCACAGAGATTAGAGGCCATCAGCCCTGTCAAGAATGATGCCAGGTTTCGCTTGCAAAATAGAGCAAGGCGCTGGCAACTGCTTTTTCAACGCAACCTTGTGACAGAAAAACCTTTTTTTGTCATGTTTCGGCTGTGTACAGGCAGGAGAAGGACCCAAACGCAAAACTCACGACAACGAAATTTAACTCAAAAAGCTGCTTTATTGCAGAATGGCATGGAAAACTAAACTGGGGCATGGACAAACTGACACGCAAGGAAACACAGCCATAACGGAGACTACAACACTGACAAAGAGAAACACAGGGCTTAAATACACAGAGGGATAACGAGGGAATGAGACACAGAAGGAGAGCACAGCTGGGAGTAATCAGGCTGGACGAGACAAGGGAAGCAAAACCAGAAACACTCACATGAGACATGGACCTTCAAAATAAAACAGGAAACACACTGACTGAACTCTAAACATGCAAACTTAACAGCAACTGAGAAGACAGAACATAGGGACCAGAAACATGGTACAAAAAGGTCACAGTAGACACAACATTGAACACAGGGAAGCCATATTACAAAGCCAACAAACTAAACCTATGATAACCATAACTGAAATCTAGGGAAACAAGAAACAGTACAACGAAGGACTCAAACCATAATCCATAATATAAAAACACGAGATCTCTTCAAAATAAAATAGGAAACATAATGAGACGCAGATATGAAACACATGAAGAGCAGAGGAGACTTCACAGGGGTTGGAAGACACAAGGGGAATCTAATAACAAAGAACTAGAAAAACTCATGAGCTTAATCATATAAACATCCGAATAAACTAAACTCAAAACACTGGGTCATAAAACCCAGGATTGTGACATTTTTTTATATTCTGAGTGGGCTGGCACATTCTTAGTCCAGCTGATGGACCTGACTTCAGCCAGACAGGCTGTATAACAGTACCTGGGTGTTTACCTCCTCTTCCTCCATATAGAAAATTATCCAAACACTCTGAGACCCGCTCAGAATAAGGATATGGAAGCAATACTTTCTGTAGGGAAAGACATTAAGAGGGGTAGAAAACTGTCAGTACACATGTAAATGTACATTATATGTGAAAGAAATGTGTGTCTACATCTGCCCATGTTGGGATCAGTGTGTTGATGAAAAGGGAATAAATGTCATGGTTTTCTTCACAGTGACTCACGTGAGAGAGCAGGCTGAAACCAAGACTGAGCTGGAAGTCAAAGGTAAGGTCATAAAGATAACTTTTTAACATATTAGAGCGAGCATTACTCCATCATGGGTGGAGTGGAAAAACCACAGCTGGAGCAGATTTCTCTCAACTGAATTTTGATTTGAAAGTAGTCTGTCACTGGATAACTCCAAGCTGTGGCTCACTGAAGCAGATAAAATGTTTGTGAGAGCAAAGTGATAACCGCTACATGAGTGGATGCTTTGTGTTGGATCGTACTTGTCATGCGTCTATGCTTTGATCATTTCTATATTTCAGGATGAACTTTGACCTTCCACAGTTGCATGACACCTTTATATATATGTATGTATATATATATATACATATATACGTACATATATAC